TTTGGGTTGAGTAACCTAGGAATAAAAAGGGTGCCCTTTTGGGGGTTAAAGAGGGTTATAAGTTATAAGAGAACCTAAACCCTAAAAGAGGGAATAAGGGCCTACTCTGGGTCCTAGTAAAGTGACATTTTCGGAAAGCTACGAGCGTGCACGGCAGAACAACAGCAACAGCCGGAAACAAATCTCAGGGTTCATTGCCTTCATGTCTTGAACGTTCTCGCTCGGCGGTGCCAAAAACCAAGCCCCAGCCCAGCGCCTACCTCTAAACTTCAAACATCCTCCGTCAATGACAAGTCAGCAGCAGATAGAAGTCTCAGAATAATGCTAAACTCATGTATCGGCAAAAAGTCAGAATCTTCATATCGGAGGACTTAACAAACACCGAACCCCGAAACCCTCCACGACGTGAATGAGCGTCTTATGGATAGGAAAAAGCGATGTCCATGCAAACTGCCATGCACATACCTTGCCGTAATTCGGGGTTGAATGTTAAGGGTCGCGAAGGTCGAGGCAGCAAAAACCTGATTGCGCACGAAAACATCACGCTTATGCACGGCCCCACCTCTACCGCTAAGAAAACGAAAGGATGTCTGTACTTGGAGGGTCGGGAGACTTAGTAAGTAGGTAGTAAGTAGACTTATAATGACTTATTAGTGCCTTAAAAGGGGCCTTAATTGGGTTTATGATATATATATATATATATGTCCCTAAAAGAACTACTTACTAAGTTCCGGGACCCTCAAACCATTATCCTAACCCAGAACAACCCCGGCCAAAACCCTGAAGCTCGCAGGCGCAACACCCAAAACCACTTCTGTCCAAGGGTAAAAGGAGGGACCCTTAAAAAGGATCCCCAGGTATATACCCTTAATATAGCCATTATATACTCATTATATAGCCCCTTATAGGGTAGGGGTCCCCATTAAGGGTCCCTCCTTTTCCCCTTTGATTCTGGTTGAAAAGGCCTGGTCAACATGGTCTTGCAAACAGACCATGACGTCTCCTTCTGGCTGGAAATAGTAGGGTTTAGGTTCAGGCTTTGGGTTGAGGCTTTGTGCTTAAGGTCTCGGGTTCAGGGCTTCAGGGTTTCAAGGGTCCAGAATGTTCGGGCTTCAAGCTTACATGCTTCAACACAAACCTCGGCTATAAACCACTATTCGTCGCAGGGGGGTCATGTAAGGAAAAGTCTGTTAGGTTTGACGTTCAGCTCAGACCCTTCGCTTGATTATGCTAGTCAGGTGGGCTTTAGGCATTGCATGGAGCTGAGGATAGCTGCGCTGGGCACTAGACACTAGACCAATTCTGGGTCATAGTAGGGGCTGACGAACGGTCGTGGTGGGTTGCAATAAATACCCGGGTTCCTTCAGGCTCCAAGTGCCCAAACAGTAGGATTTCAAAGTCCAAAGACCATTCAGAGAATGGATTTGGGGACCTTGAAACCCTACTATGTAGGTACGAGGACCCTCTAGCATTGAGAGCTACGGGTATTCGGCTTGATGTCAGAGGGAAGCCGAGATTATTGGGCCGCAGCCCCATAGCTTTACTTGGAGGAGCATGGGGCTTAGTAAGTAAGGCTATAATTACCCAAATTGGGGGGTCATAAGTATAGTTACCTTAATTATAACCCTAGTTATTAAGTCCCATGACCCTTTAAGTAGGTCTTCGATCGTCGAAGCTTAAAGGCTGAGGCCTCACACGACGGCGCTTGTGATTCCGAATGTATGTATGAGTGAAAAACTCGTATATGTCAGTGCATCTAGAAATATCGGTATATGTGTGTAGAGAGGCTTCAGGATAACATCGAGTACCTTGAGGCTCCAAATAGTCCCAACAGCCTGAACGCGTATATGACCGTATGTGGTATGGTCTTTGAGCCCGGAAGCCTTACCATAAGGCTTTCCGTAGCTGAAACCCTTACCGTCAGTCCTAAACCTCAGCCGGCAACATGTTCGCATTTTTTGGCCCTTCGCGGGAAAGCACGCGCAGCTCAAGCCGAAAGACGACTCAGCCTCGGTTCCATCTTCGTTTTGATTTGAGGATACAGGATTCAAGACTCAGGAGTTAAGGTTTAGGTCAGTGCTTCGGGCTTGGGACATAGCGAATGGAACGGGATGTTAGAATGGAGAATACCAACTCCACCAAGTGACTTACATCTAGACATCCAGAGATAACCTCGGGGACGGACATCCCTCGTCGGAAAGAAGTACTCAAACTATCTAAGAGTAGCATGCTGTTTGGAAGTGCTGCGGATGCTGTCTGTTAAGAGCGTGCTTTAGGGCATTGCTATAAATCGCCAAACCCACAGGCCCATTCGCTATAACCAAGCGGGTCCATATATGCTGCTGTAGTACGATCATGGAACTAGGTCCCATAAACGATAATAGGGATGGTCTTCTGGGACCTCATTCCATAACGGAGCCCCTGGGTACTGGTCTGAACATCACCTAGGAACCCAAGGCTGCAAAACAAAAACATTATATACCTCAAATTCTCATGCCCAGAGAGCCCAATACCCTGTGCTGGCTTAGTGTTGTTGAAACAGTTAAGGAGTCCGGACGCACATCGGCAGCGAAAAACGTAAAAAACGAAAAATCAAAAAGTCCATTTTTCGACCGGAGGAAGCGAGCAAAATGGTAAAAAGGTAAAAATGTAAAAACCAGATAGCCCAACTTCAGGGGCAAAAAATGTAAAACTGTTAAAATGTAAAAAGTTCCAGGATCGGATGTATTTCCGCCGCGGAACGGACGAAGGTAAAAACGAAAAACGTAAAATTGTAAAAACCATTTGCCGCGCGAAAAAAGTAAAACAGTAAAAACAGCGAAAAAACGTAAAATCGTAAAAACGCGCCACGGAGCGAAAAGCGTAAAACTGTAAAAACAGAACTGTAAAATCGTAAAAACGCGCCACGCAGCGAAAAGAGTAAAACTGTAAAAACAGCGAAAAACCGTAAAATCGAAAAAACGCGCCACGCAGCGAAAAGGATAAAACTGTAAAAGCAGCGAAAAAGTAAAAGTGGAAAAATGGTGACTAAGCGAAAAATCAAACTAAAGGTGAAAAACCAGGAACCAAGAACGGCGTCAAAAGAAACGCCACCCAGGTAGCGGAGGTATCTTGCTTTGCTTGGAGGTTCAGGGCCTGGAGGGTCTTATGTTTAGGGTTTGGCGTGAGGTGAAGGAGCATAAGCTTCTCGAGGACAGCGGTACTGAAAAGGTTTCAATAAGCAGCGTGTTTTGATTGAGTTATACTTGGGACGCCTAAAACTTGCTAATTGTTCGTGTTCTGGCCCTTGGTGGCAAGCTTACGGGCTCAGGCTCCTAGCACAGGCCCCAATCATTTAGGTCCTGGGTCCTTGGACTCATGGCAATTGCTTGGGGCAGCAAGGACTTTGCCAAGGAGCTTTCGGATGTCCAGAAGCTTTTGAGCTTCTCTCCGAATCCACAGCTCCAGGCGGGTCTTTTGAATGTCTTGCAAAAGAAGGTCGTGACTGCCGACAGTTTGCCGGCAGCGGAGTATGTGAACATGCTCCAGTCTGTGGAACAGTCTGGATTGGACGAAAATACGAAAAAGGCATTGAGTGATGCTCTATTGAAGAATGCTTCAGGTGGCAGCACGGAAGGTGGCTGCAAGCTCGTCAAAGTTCCGCAGACACTGAAGAACCCAGTGGCTTATTTGACGAAAGAGGAAATCGTGCAGCTTATGCAAGGTGACATCAAGGACGCCCCGATCCTCATTGCCAGACGGCTTCGGGTGATTGGCTTGACGAGCCGCAAAGAATGTACGAAGAAATCCTGTGTCACTTTGCATGTGCAAGCCCATCTTTGGCAGAATCTCCAACAACCAGATGCAGACAAAATCTACAAATTAGCGACTGACTTCCAGGACGTTTTTCACAGCCTGAACGTACAGAGTGATGTGCCTGCCTTCCGGACATATCCAGACGATCCTCGAGAGTTGGGACCAGATTGGATTGCCAAAGCCTACAAAGGTTCTCACCCCAGCTGTGCAGAGCTGCCACAGCTGCATGTCTTGTCCAAGTCGTGCCCAATCCGCACCACCAGCCGGCTGCTCAAAGGCACTTCTCAGGGTTCCAACCAGCTTGCTTGCAACATGTCCATGCATGCCATGCAGCAAAAGACTTGGCTGGAGACCATGAAAGAAAAGCTTGCCGAGGAGGAAGCCAGACAAGCTGCACTCAAGCAGTCATGCCCCTCGAGTTGCATGCCCTCCAAGGACGAGGTGATCCGGCAGCTCCAGTTGCTGCCGACACCTGCAAATACCTCTACTGCACGTACCGGCACAGAGCCCCGCCGATGCTCCGGAAAACAAGTCTCCGGAAAAGCAGTCGGTGCCAGGGGCAAACGAAGGCAAAAGCTTGGAACAGTACGAAGCAGAGGCATTGGCACAAGTGGAGAATAAGAAAGCACCGAAGCAGGAGAAGAAGAATGGGAAGCCCTGCAATCAGAAGATGCCACAGCTCTTCAAAAAGCCTGCAGCGAAGTGTGTTGAGAAACACCCGATGAACAAAGAGAAGAAGGCTGCCAAGCAGGACGGAAGGCTCACCTGCTGGGGCTGTGCAAGATGCCGTGGCAATGTGTATGGCTGCGACAATTGCAATTTCGATGGGTTCGCCGGTGTGCGACTCAACGGTCGGGCCGAATGGAAGAAGTACATGGAGGAACGGAAGAAGGCGGCCAAGCACTGATCCAGGTCCCAGGGTTTGGGTACACACAGGTGCATAGAGTGCTCTATGCCCGAGGGCTTTCGATGCGACCTTGCATGGTTGCATCCGACCTACCTGAAAAAGGTAGCACAAGGGGATTCCATGCACTATACATGTCCAGCCTTCGGCAAAAAGGGCTGCTGCTGCTTGTTCCTAGCGCTTAGGGCTGGCTTCTCACTTGCTTGCATGCTTGCATTGCAAAACTGCATGAGGTTGTTGTCACATGCCCAGCTGTCCAAGTCTTTGAGTTTAGGGTAGGGATCATCACAAGCCATGCTTTATGGCTAAGTCCTCCAGCTCAGCTTCCAAGAAGCAGAAGCTGGACCATCTCGATGCTTTCCGTAGAGGCATTCCCTTCGTGTCGTGCTCGGCATTGGCAGCGATTTTGAACAAGGTGGAACAGGAAGGAGTGCCAGAGCTGCATGGAAGGAAGAACATCAAGCAAGCGGTTCTGGAGAAGATTGCCGCCATGGCTGGGGATTGTGGGTCTTTACTCAAGCAGCTCACAGCTGTGCGAATTGATGGTGGGGATTTGCACTTTCATATCCTCAACCTACCAACAATGCTCCAGGGGTTATACAGGCAGGAAGGGTATTGGCACCGTTATTTCAATCACATGCACATGCAAGACCCCTCAAGCTTGGACTGCCCATGGAAGGGAGTTCTTTATGCTGATGAAGCTCATCCCGGCAATCAACTTTCCAGTACTGGCCGCAAAATTTGGTGCATATATTTTTCTTGGTTGAACTTACAACAGCAAGGCTTATCCGAGGAGCGACACTGGTTTACATTGGCGGCCTTGAGAACTGAGCTAGTACAAAAAGTTGAAGCTGGTATCGGCCAGATCCTGAGACTCAGGATCAAAAGATATGTTCGCACAGCAGCTCTGGAACCCGGTGCATGGCATTGTCATGAAATCAACCGATGCATTGTTTGTTTTCCATTGGACCCTCCACGTCTTTTTACAAGACGGCAGTGCCCAGAAGCAAACATTTGCAAACCGCCAGGGCATCGGTTCTCGTGTTTGCATGCTCTGCAAGAACATTTTCAATGTTAGACGTGAAGGTGATGATGACGACGAGGGGAAGATCAGCTCCAGACACCTGACCCTGTCCTCCTGCGACCTTGCCTCGGACAGCGAATTGCTGCAGAGTTGGGATCGGCTGGCAGCAAAGGCAGGAACTGAAAGCAAGGCTCGCTTTGCAATGCTTCAACAAGCAAGTGGATGGACATTTTCGCCACATGCTTTGTGCATGTCTTCCAAGTTACGAGCTTTGGGATTGATCAAGCCGGCTTCGCAATATTGTTACGACTGGATGCATTGTCTAAACAGTAACGGAGTTCTCAGTTTCGTTATATGTCGGGCATTCGAGTCATGGCGAAACCATGGCAAAGCCGATGTGTGGGAATCCTTCGCAGGCTACTTGGAGTTGTGGCAGTTGCCCGGTGCCAACAAACAAGGCTCCTTGAAAAGTTTGTTTTCGGCAGACAAAATCAAGAGCCACAGAAAAACAGGTCATCTCAAGTGTACTGCATCCGAAGTTCTGGGTTTGTTGAAACCATTGCAGCACTACTTCACAACATGCTGCCTGCAAGAAGAAGTGCAGCCTGCGAAAGCATCGCTTCTAGCATGGTTGCATGTGCTCGAACTCTTGAACGATCAAAATCAAGCACCACTTCGGTCCAGACAATTGCTCCTTGCTTGCGAGGAAGCCTTGGAAAAAGCGGTGCAGGCAGGATGGGGTCCAGTGATGCGGCCGAAGTTTCATTGGACCCTCCACTTGGATGGTTGCTACGAGAAACAAGGATTTCTGCCTGCATGCTGGGTCTTGGAAGCCGCCCGTAAATATGGGTCGGCTTCTAGCAATACGATTCGTTTCGACACATCTCTTCTGGAAGAGGTGACTGCAGAGCATTTGTCGGTCATGGGCAAAGAAGAGGGTTTCCATTTGCGGGCACATTTGCTGCAGCCGCATGCTTGCACTGCAAAGCTGAAGAAAAGCTTGGTGCAGTACAATGTCCTGCGGCAGGAGGGTGAGTGCATGACAAGCACCATGACAAGGCTGAAGCATGGTGCTATCATCAAGAAAGGCGACATGGTGCTGCATGGCAGTGAGCCAGGGCACGAGTGCCCTTATAGATGTGCCAAAGTGCACTGCTGCATTGAGCTGCACAATATTGCTCTGGTGATGCTTGCCCCCGCCACTTTCCTTCAGCAGCGGTGGGACATGAACATGCTCAAGTTTCGTGAAGAGGCAGGTGACCCCCAGATTTACATCATCGGTGCCGATGACCTGCTTTGCAGTGTCGTGTACAACAAAGCCAATGATGGCACACTGACCGTGTTGCCGCCTGCCTATTTGCGACCTCGCCATGCATGATGAAAATATGCAGCTGTGCTTATGTTTCTTTTGCAAGTGTCATGCTTGCCTTGCATGTGTTCATGCTTGCAGGTTGCATGCATGATTGTTTCGAATTTAGGCCCATCAACAAGAAATAATGCTTTCTTTGTCCATGCTTACATGCAAGAATCATGCATGTGCATGCTTGCCCTTGCTTGCTTCCGGCATGCATGACTCGTTCAAGCATGCATGAAGCTCATGCTGATCATGCATGCTTGAACATGGGATTGTGCTTGCCAAGATGCATGCATGCATGGGTCATGCAAAGAATTTTTGTTTGATCCATGCTTGCATGCAATCTTTGATTTATGGAGGGTTCAGCATTCCATGATGCCTGCAGCATTTTGCTTGAAGCAACTCCCTGTAGATCGCGATGCCTCCTCGCGATGAAAGCCCGGGCCGCAGCAGATCGCCTCTTCCTAGGAGGTTTGAGTGGAGGTGGTGTTGGATGCGAAGCGAAATCGCAGGGGTCACGATCCTGGGCTGAAGTTTGTTTCATCATGCCATGCTTCTAAGTGCATGCAAGCTGCAATCTAAGGATCTGGTGGTGGCAGTGGTTTCGACATTGTTTGGCCACCAATGATGACGACGACAGCAATGGCCCTGCTTCAAGTGAGAGCCCGACCAAGCGGCTGAGAAGGGAGTGAAGGCATGAAGGGCATGCCGAATAATTCGCTTGCTTGGCAGATTTCCAGCTTTCAATGCATGGAGGCGGTCAGAGGAGTCTGCTGGGCCCATACATGATCAGAGCATCCACCATGCATGCAGTTTTTCTGAGTATGCACTCCGACCTGAATGCGAGCTGGTGCAAAAACATAGTCCGCTGCCGTGCTGCATACAATGCCGCTGCAAGCAACCTTGAAAGCTGCATGCATGCAGAACAAAAACAAGAAACCGTTCATGACCGCATGCATGACATGATGCATTGCATGCAAATGCATGCATACCATGCAGGCAAAACATGAAAATGTCGATCCCATCTTTGTCTATGCAAGCACAGCAAGACAGGAGATCATGCATGCATGCATGCATTTACGTGCATGCAGTAGGACCGCATGCATGCCGTGCAATCATAGCAATCTTACCTTGCGAGCTTACCAATCTCCATACATGCAACAATCCCTTTACATGCATGCCATGCAAGACATGAAATTATGCACGCTCGACACTTCGATTCCTCGAGCTTTTTCAAAAAAAAATCCGGAAAGTGTAATGACAATGTTCGCCTTTCCCAATGTGTTTTCTCTGTTTTTCTTCTTCCGCTTCAGGTTTTTCTTCTTTACAAAACCATAATCTACAGAGTTGTTTTCTATACTTTTCAGCATCAGCTAACTCGTTGGGTCCTTGGCCAGGCATTCTTGGCGACGCCGTAGCCCACATAGTAAGCCGGACGGGTTTAGGCTTGGAGCTACAGGGTGTAGACTACGGTTTCAGCGGCCCTTGGTGCAGAATTCAAGCGAAAACAGCGAAAAGCGAAAAACAAAATTTACGTTTTACGCTTTTACGCTTTTACGCAGAGAACGCGCCTTTTACGCTTTTACGCTTTTGCGCTTTTACGCTTGTACGCTGAGAACCGGCCGTTTACGCTTTTACGCTTTTGCGCTTTTACGCTTTCAGACAATCACGTGCCGCGAAAACAAACGCGGGGCAGGGTAAAAGCGTAAAAACGAAAAACAAAAATACGGTTTTACACTTTTACGCTTTTACGCTTGTACGCGGAGCTTGTCTGGTCCAAAACACTGGCGAGCACCACCGAAAAACGTAAAACGCGAAAAACGAATTTCACCTTTTACACTTTTACGCTTTTTACGCCCACCCGAACTACACGGACCCGCTGAGCAGAACAACGCCCGCAAGCCAGCTTAGCCAATACCCCTTAATTATAAGGAATATGGCTTAAATTATATAGGGCTTGATATTGTGATTAAAGCTATAATCCATAAATACAGGGTATTGGGCTCTCTGGGTGCCTTGTAACCCCAGAAGACCAAAACGCCTTTCACGGAACAAATAAATGAAGCACTTAAACAAGTCGGGACAAACACGTACCAAAAATCCAAAACGCCTTGAACTGAGTTAATGCACCTTGGAGAAGGCCGACACCCCCAACTCCCAACCCGTCATCAACAAGTACAGCTCACTAAGACATACTCTAGGCCAAACACAAAAACCCGAGACACTCATCAACCTTGGACAAAAAAAGTCATGAATCTCTTATCGAAACCCTTAGAGGAACCCTTAAAGGAAACCACATAGGATCCTTAAAGGAACCCTGACTGACACTTTGCCCATGGGGCGTTTTCGAGGCTTCGAGGACCTGCGTGGCGGCGCGGAAGCGACCGGCGGCCAGCAGCGCACGCGTGACGGACTGGTAGGTGGTTTCATCCTCGGTGAAGCAAAGTTATATTGAATACTCCTTCAGCCAAATTGATCTGTGTTGCATTGAGCTTCGGACTATGATGCAGCAAGCACTCTAAATATAGTTACCTTCATTATAACCCTAGCCACTAAGTCCCATGACCCTTTAAGAAACCCTAACCTGGCCTTCTAGAACCCTTATAGATCCCTTTAGGGAGCCCTTTAAGGAACCCCTTAACTTACTACGTCCCATGACCCATTAAAGCTTTTCGGCCTTGGAGCAAAGAGCAACGCTAGACCCTACAGTTGATGATATAATTAAATCCTGGGGTTCCGTTAAAGGGATACAGGGGTACCTTTTACTGGTTCCTTCAAGGGATCTACAGGGGTTTAAGGTTTGGGGTGTAGGTTGATGATGTAAACGCTGCATTACCTTGTGGACGCTAGACTATGGGAATTATGGTATATTCATTATTATGTGTAGTGCCAACTTTACATCATCAACCCTGTTTCTCCATAGCTCTACCTATCGATCCATCCATCCATCTGTGGTTTTTCATCTACTTATCTAGTATCTACCGAGCTATCTACCAACTGTCTACCTAAATGCAGGGTTTGGGTTTAGGGCCTGCTTCGTTTCATTCGACTGGAAGTTTGGTGCTTGGGACTACCGTTTTTCAGGCCTCGGGTGTTAAGCTTGTGGTTTGGGAGAGGTGTTGAACGTGTAATGCTAGTAGGCTTCGGTCTCATAACATCCATAAGGTGACAAAAAAGTCGCTGGGGCCCTTCGCCCCCAAAGCCTGAAGCCTCAATGTCTTCCCGACTTGCTGCAAGCAAGATGCGGCATGAACGGCATGCGAGCCCATGCCGATGAACAAAGCCAACACCCGGCGCCAGTCTCCTTCACTCTAAACACCGTTTAGGGATCGAGGTTTGAAGTGAAATTCTCGATTCCGATTGCTCAAGAGCTCATAGCATACCTCGCCCTGGGGTGCTGCGATTTATGTCGATTTCAACACTCCCCAAAAGCGTCCTTTTTTCAACAATAATTTGCAACGAAATATTATCCCAAAAAGATAGCTGGGGTAGGTAATTTCTACAGGCTGGACTGCCTCACTGAGCTCAATTTCCAGCCTGAAACCACTCAACATAGAACCCAAGAAACCTTGTACAACAGAGCCATCCCTGAAATTCCGGCTACCTAAACAGTGGGGCCTTTTACGGTCACAGCCCAAACCCGTTGCAGGCTTACCCCAAACCCTGAAACGGGAAACTCTGAACCTTAAACCCTTTCAGGTTTTAGGGTTTAAGGATGAGGACTCAAGCCCATTAATACACAAAGGTTCCCAGAACACTCTGAGGAATGTCAGGACCTAGACACACCCAGACCCCTTAAAGGACCCCCCCTCTCACGACAAAAACAGCATCCCTGAAGCATCTGAAACAAAAAGGAACTCCCAACAATATGTATCGCGCATTGTGTGGCATTGGCATTGTTCTTATGGGCTTGAACTGATGTTTTTGGATACTCCCGCTGGTCTAGACAGCTCCTGCCAGCGCACACGCTGCTATGGCCGAGTTGTAGGTGATGACCTCAGGCGGGATGCATTCTGCTACCGTGGACTACCAAAACCTATATACTTCTTCGGCATCTACATTAGGTCATTAGGGCTCATGTGTGTTTATATTTAAAAACAACGTACAGCGCAGTAGGCTATAATGGTAGTTTATGATATAATACAGTTACAATCCGGGAACGCTTAGGAGCGGCATCGCGAGGTATATAGTCAGGCTTCTACGTCAAGATTTGTGCCCGCAACCCAATGGTGCACTGTGCCTCCTGCATAATATGGCAGAGCTTGTTTAGGCTCCCAGAGATCCCAATATCCCCTAATTAAGGAATATACCGTAAACCATAATACGAAGGCCCCTATAATTCAAGGTATACTCCTTAATTAAGGCATATTGGGATCTCTGAGTTTTGGGCTTGGGCTTAAGAATACGCTGCCGTTGACCATAGGGGAAGAAACAACTACATAAACTAATAAACGTTGGTTTCGGGACGAATCGGCAAGACATCAACACAGAAATCAACAAGTGAATGTAACAACGGCACCGGGTGTGCAGTGTGCACAGGTCGAAGGCAAGGTTACAGGCAAGAATTGAACCCATGTTTTGCATACAGTTACCTTCATGGTTAAATCACCTCCCACCAGCACGGTTGTAACACTCGATGGAAAGACCTAGTGCTGAACAACACTTTTGAGATTCTCCGGGGATCCCGGGAAATTTCCGTCCGGAGAAATCAGCACCTAAGAAAGTTGATGTGCCTGCAAAAACAAGGCAAAGTACTCTTCCCGAAAAAAGGTATCGACCTTTTTTGCTCGGGACGCGCGGGCTTCGTGCGGGGATGTCCGCGGGCTTGAAAAAGTTTATGTGGGTCCCAAAACACAGCAAATACCACTTCTACATAATGGAAGCACTTGCGCCGACTGTATATGCAGTGAGAAGGCCGGTCTGTTACAACCTCGCCTCGCGAGTGGAATAGGCTACTATGCCCAAGCTGCGATCTATCCGTTCCCGCACAGCACCCATGGACCTGTAAACTGGCAGAGGCCTGC